GATGCGAATGTAAATTATGTACAGGAGAATAGAGCTTTTGACTAAAAATGCTGTACAAGTAGGAATGGTCAACATCACAAAGAGATAAGAGTATGTAGAACACCATATCAAAGTAGGATAGCTTTTGTTACACCATTTGACCGCCTCTTTTCGAGGGCACATTTCAGCCCTTGATATTTGACCAGGTCCAGTTCAGTCAGAAGATTCACAATTATTCGCTCGTCATCGAACGAGAGATTTTCGCTCTCCAGATGCATTGGCGACAGAAATCGAGAGATATACACCTGAAAGGATATAAATGAAAACTCCTCAACCTCGAGCTTCCTCAGTTTCTGAGGATGGTTCTGTCCCGAATAACTGCACTAAGCTTGAAGAGAAATCTGCGTCCACCCTCCCTCCCTCTTAACTGCTCATAAATGAAAAGTTACGCAAACTGTCTCAGTACTCCTTTTGATGAAGAGATCAGGAATAATCGGCATATTTTTAGTTTTAGGACTTAAATTCAAATCACATAGGTGATCAATCCGCCGACAGATCCAATTAACTTCCATCTAAAATGGTGGTGGGCACCCCTCCGGTTTCCTCTCCTCCCTCTTAATATGGGGGAAGCTTGTGATTCGCCACTATAACTCATTAGAAAAACCTCACTACTGACATTTCGGGAAGAATAGAATTCTTTATTTGACATCCTTAGATATTATGGGCATGTATTTGGTTCACATAATAACGATTAAAGCTTAAACTTGCGTCTTATCCCCCCATCAACTTTTATGTCTGTTTATTCGTTCGAAAATAGTTTGAAGGCAGTGTACATGATGGCTGCGGGAGGGCGGTTACTGCCAACGTCATTGGTAGGGCCGCGAGAGGGCGCTTGGACACAATCCATTCAGCCGTTACACCAATGACGTGGTCAGCAACTGCCCGCCCCCAACCATCCCGCCCATGCCTTCAACTGCTGCCATGGACTTCTAAAGACCTGATTAGAAAGAACTTACCAAAGAAGATAAATTAGTAAGCGCGGCGGCCACAAACGCGATCAGAGCAGCATCAGAAGGGAATCGTCTCTTGTGCTTCAGATTTGAGAGTAGCACTCCACGATAAGGAACAGTACGTAGCACACAGGCATTTGCGTCAAGAACTGCAGCGTCGGGTAGATTCAATGCAGCCGATTCTCCGCGTTCGTAACATACACCAACCACTCCTTTAGGACGGCTGAAAACAACATAAAGGTGAGAAGCCTTCCAGTGAGAGAAACAAGAATTTAGGTATTTCAGCGACTTTATTGTTACCAAGTAGTTTAGTCCGGTTTGTGCTCTTGATCAAATTGGTTGTTGTGAGGAACTGTGGTGCTATAGATGCTTAATTTTATTTAGGGCACGCTTCGCGTTTATTTAATGCTCGTATTCTTTGGACTTGGTAGTTCCACAATATGAAGGATCTACCACTTTCACAGCACAAAAGTACGTGAGAAAAGCACGACCTGCCCGCGACGAAGCCATCTTCTGCCCACTGGCCAGCGCAACAACCAACTTGCATCTCTAAAGTCTTCCTGTCGGTGCGGGTGTTGCGCTAATAACTCTCCATTTCGAATAGTGAGGGTGAGGTGATAAAAAGAAAAAACTGGCAGCGGCAAGCTTGAACCCGTCCGATCCACACCCA